CTCTTCTCTAGTCATATTTTAAGTACCTCCCAAGTGCAGGGGCTCATCTTCCAGCACTATATGAGGCTTATGAAAACATAAGGTTTTCCATGGATAGTATTTCATAAGTTGTTCATCTGCTCTTTCTCACTGTATCTTGGCCTGGAAGTTCTGCTGAAATTTGCCACCCTGGGTGGCCTTGCTGGTATTTTAATACTGTTGCCATAGCTTTCAGCTTCCCAGCAGAATGCGAGCCACCACAGTGTGACAAACCGACAAATAAAGATAGAAGACACATGTTACCACTCAAAATGAAGAGGCTTTTTCACTTCAGATCTCTGTTCTCATAAATTGACGCCTTGCATAATTTCTAGAAAGACACCTTGCACTCAGTTGCCACTGCTCACAGCCATTCCGAAATCCCTTTCCCTGCCTCAATCTCTCAGTAAATTCCTGTTTATTCAAAACTCAGCTCAGATTTCACCCATGGTAAAATCTTCCCTTGAAAAAAGAACAAGTTTATTCTTTACCTCTATGGGATTGTTTCCAGAAGGAAATAGTTTCTTGTGCATACTTTAATTGTATTCTTAATAATACCATTGTAACTTCTTTTTCATGAAGTTTCCAATTTATTAGCAGGAACATTCTGCTTACTCACAAATGTCAAAGTTTGTTTCCCAGTCTAACCAAGTCAAGAATAAGTGTGTGGAGCAGTGTAATTTACAGGAAATGTATATGTAATTTAATTATTTAGCACAAATAAAATAGGAAGAAATGAACACATGTGTATAGATGATAGTTGAAGCATTTGGTAAAAAATCTCAGATATTACTCAAAGCTCTTTTGACACCTTTGAGATTAACACCAAGTATATATAATCTAGATTACACATATATATGGAATATTCACATCTGTGACCTTTGTCTTAAAAAATATAGTCTATGGTGTCTAACCAAATAATTGAGGAATCTGAAGATGAAGGTGTGAAAAATGAGAGGAAGAAAGTTTGGACACTATCTGAAACATTGCAGAATCCACCCCTTTATTTTAAAGAGCTAACAAAGGTAAAGTTACTCAATGACCAACATTGCTCGGAGCTTTAGTTTACCTTCCCTATAAAGAACTTATCAATGGTATTACTAACTCATTGTTGTTCTATGGGTTATACTGGTGTGTGTGGGGGGGGGTAGAGCAAGAGAGACAGAGAGAATGTCATGGTGGTGTAATGAGTTCAGCATTGAAATTCTGATTGAAACATGGCTGCTTCAAACACCCTGTTCTAGTCTGTTTTTTAGGGCCCATGTGAGTCAGATGCTCTGCAGAGTTTTTATCCGAATGAGTTTTCAAAAGTTTATGGAGAAGATTCCATTAGCTTTTAATTCCATGATGTCTTTGAAGCCTCCTTATGCATACGTGTGTTTGTGCGTGCTTGCATGTGTGCGTGCGTGCGTGCGTGAGTGCGTGCGCGTGCGTGCGTGCGTGTGTGTGTGTGTGTGTGTGTGTGTGTGAAGGGAGAGGGAGAATTAGATAGCTGAATGGGGAAGACTTACCGTGAAACTGTCCTTAGACTGATCCATAAGGATCGGAGGTTATGATTACAGTTGACCAGTAACCAATGATTTAATACATTGTAGGTTTTTGTTTTATTTTGTTCTCCCTCAGATTTATTATACGTGTCCAATTGTAAAGGCCGTGAGCAATATTTCCCTTGTAGTGGAAAAGTCGGAATGCTTTGGATTGCTTGGATTAAATGAAGCTGGGAAATCTGCCACCATTAAAATGTTGACTGGAGAGGAGGCCATCACCTCTGGAGTGGTGTTAATCGATGGCATTAACATCACTGAAAATATCCAAGAGGTATTTCTGATCCTAGCCACTGAGTTATAGCCCTACGGGAAGCAATCAACCAGGAAAATTATAAAGACGTGGAAGCAAAATCTAGGATATTGATACATCTATGGCTGCCTGCTACTGTAAAAATGTATGAGCTCAGAAATCGATATGTGTGTGTATACATACACATACAGAGCAATGCATGTCTCAATGTGTATATATAATGTACATACATGAATGTATGTATATTATATAAATGTGTATATATCGATGGAATTAGAATATAATGGAATTTTTCCATGGACTTGCTGAAGGCTCCTCATATTTGTGTATATACTATCAAATGTAAACATTTTTTCTTTTATTACACAAAAATAAACATATTATACACATTCTTTTGAAACTCACAAAAGTGCTTCCCATATATGGTTTATATAAATTTGTGCTGCACTAACAGTATATTGATTACAACAGGGTGTCATCAGTCCCTTGGATTTCCACCGTCTAGTAGCCTTTTGCTTCCTGGTCTGTCGGTGTGCTGTTGTGTTAGGTGCTGTCCAGTCAGTCAACTCTGACTCATCTCTCCCAGGTACAACAGAACAAACCACTGCCTGGTCCTCTACCATCCTCACAGTTGTTGTGCTCACTCCCATTGCTGCAGCCACTTTCTCAGTCCCTGCCCTCTTCTTCACTGACCAAGCATGGCGTCCAGCTTCTTGGATTAGTCTCCCCTGACAGTATGTTCAAAGTAGATGAACTATTCTGACTGTGCTGCCCCCGAGACAAGAGCTGTTTGTTCTTCTCTCGGCCCATGCATGGCACCTTCACTAGTCTGTACCAGCACAATAAGCTTGCCTCCTTAGAGGCGAGAGTAATGAGACTTCGTCATACATGTTTTGGACATGTCATCAGGAGAGACCAGTCCCTAGAAAAGGACATCATGTTTAGTAAACTAGAGGGACAGCAAGGGATAAGAAGGCCCGCACGGAGATGGATTGATACCATGGCTGCGACAATGGGCTCAAAAGAGAATAACTGTGAGGGTGGTGCAGGACCAGGCAGTGTTTCATTCTGTTGTCCATAAGTTAGCTATGGGTCAGAACTGACTCTCTGTTACCTACCAACAACAAAATACTGATGTAGCTTCCTATATTTGCCGGTTTGGTTTTTTATTCATATCTTGGGAATTCTCTCTGATTATTTCTTGGAAAATCCTTTTGATACCTTTATTTTTTTTAACATTTTATTAGGGGCTCATACAACTGTTATCCCAATCCATACACACATCAATTGTGTAAAGCGCATTTGTACATCGCTTCTCAAAACATTTTCTCTCCACTTAAACCCCCGACATTAGGTCCTCATTTTTGCCCTCCCTCCCTGCTCCCCCCTCCCTCATGAGCCCTTGATAGTTTATAAATAGGTATTTTGTCATATCTTGCCCTGTCCGACATCTCCCTTCACCCACTTTTCGGTTGTCTGTCCCCCAGGGAGGAGGTCACACACAGTTCCATTTATTTTTACAATGCTCTGGAATTCCCAAATTTTGATTTATTAATTAAATCTCTTATTTTCTGTTTTTTCCCCTTGTGTTCCATTTTTATTATTCTTTTATCTTGTTTCTCTTGGGACTTAATTCAGGTACTCTTCTGCTTCCATATTCCGTAGTCTGTCGGCTCAAATCTGTGGTTGAATGGTTGTCTTGCAGTCTCTAATTTATTTCATTCTTCAGATCCAGTTTTTCCCTCTCTTTTTAAAAAATATTTTCAATATCCTCATTTGGTTTCTTATTTTTTAAATCATCTCATTTCCTGAACTTCAGTAGGGTGTGTTCTGTGTGCTTTGCTTTCCTCAACCATGTTGCAGTGTTGTCTGGCAAACATGTTGTCCTCCAACATGTTGCAGTGTTGTCTGCAATGTTCTAATTTTTCATTATCCTGCTTTTCATAGGGATAAGATTCCCCGTCTTCAGGTCTCTTATCTTATTGAGACATCTACTCTTGAAGTCTTATATAGTCTACTCTTATTTTTGCTGTTAATCACATGGCATGTTTTAGATCATATTGTGGCAATTTGAAGTTTGGATAGAAAAAAGAATCTTCTCGGGGTCACCTGCCCATCTTTTTCATTCCACTAGCGGGCCCTTTGGTTCTGTCAGCAGCACTCAGCTGTTCAGGTGGAGTGAGTAATCTCAGTGGTGTCATGGTTAAATTGAGCTTGAGCTATCAGCGGCTAGCCAAAAGGTCGGTGGTTCGAACCCAGCAACTGTTTCATAGAGAAGGATGAGACAGTCTACTTCCATAAAGATTACAACCTTGGGAACGTGCTAGAGCAATTCGACTCTGTCCTATGAGGTGGGGGGATACTTACGCTGGTGCGTTCAATAAAGCGGCGGACTTACTGGTGTGAGCGCGGCTTTCCCAGATGGCTGTATTCCTGGGCTTGATTCCTTCTCTTCATGTTGTGGGATTGAGGCTCGACTTGCAGTCGTCCGGGACTTTTCTACTGGCCACAGTGCTCCTCGTTTCCCCCAATACGCGACTGGACAGTGCTTTATATGGCTGGCTTTGACGGGCTTCCCTGAACAACTTCTCCCCCTGTGCCTATTAAATTTGCCGCAAAGATGAACCGAAGCCAGGCCAGAGAGAAGAAAAAGGAGGAGTTTATTCGGCGCTTCCCGGGAGGAGATTTCAGCGGGGAGCCAGAGAGAGGGAGAAAAAGGGACAGGAGCCCTGAACTCCCGGACAGACAGACCCGCGGCCCCCCTTGGGGGGTTCTGATAAATCGTGCCTATCTGTGGTGGAGAACAAGTTTTAAAGTGGTCAAGGCGGGTGGGGGGGTAAAGCAATCCAGGGAGTGGGTGGAAACAGCTGGTGGGAAAATCAAGAAGAAGGGGAGAGGATTCTCAGCTTGGGGTGGGGGGCTCTAAGTGGGTCTCCATCCTTAAAAATTTCAAAGCAGGGTGGTGTTTTGATCATTCCCTTGGGTGCCCAGGCAGATGGCTCATTGATTTGCGGCCCCCTGGTCCGATCGGGGCTGGCAGGCTATTTCTAATGTCCTCCTACCTAATATTACAGTACCTACAAGAGGGTAGGAAGCCAGTTCCTTCCCTCTGTCCTGCCTGTTTGATGTGTGTGTGTGTGTGTGTGTGTCTCCCCCCTGGATGATGTATGCATCTTTACCGTTTCCTTATATCCTAGTGTCCATTCATTTGGGTTCTTGGTGAGTTTAACTACCCCGTTTCCCCAAAAATAAGACGATGTCTTATATTAATTTTTGCTCCCAAAGATGTGCTAGGTCTTATCTTCAGGGGATGTCTTATTTTTCCATGAAGAA